AAAGCTATGTTTGGATATGAGCCGCGGCAGTGGGGCCTGGCGCCAGCGACATACTGCACTGTCCCAGCCCTCCACTCTTGGCTGGAAGAAAGAGCGGTGATCCAGGACTTACTGCAACAACACTTGCACCGCGCGCAACAGCACATGAAGGCGCAGGCTGACAAAAGCAGATCGCCGCGCGTCTTCGAGGTGGGCGAGCTGGTGTTTCTGAAACTCCAACCGTATATTCAAACATCAGTGGCAAGGAGAGCCAGCCACAAACTATCCTTCAAGTACTTTGGACCATACCCTATCATCAGCAAGATCAGCGATGCAGCTTACAAACTGGAGCTGCCAGCGCACTCTCAAGTGCATCTTGTGTTCCACGTGTCCCAGCTTCGTCGCTGCCTTCGCCCCGGTACGCAATCCTCAGCTGATCTTCCCCAACCTACTAACATTCCTGTCGTGCCAGTGTCAGTTCTGCAACAACGCTGGCGTCGCAAGAATGGTGCCCTGGTGGAGCAAGTCCTGATACGTTGGTCTGACCCAACGACATTGGCGAACACTTGGGAAGACAGAGTGGCCCTGCAGGCCCGTTTCCCTGGAGCAGAGGCTTGGGGACAAGCCTCATCCCAAGGAGGAGGGGATGTCAGCGTCCCCGAGACGGCCACCGACCCGACGGACCCACACACCAGCGGCTCGCAGGACTCGCCGATGGCCAAGCGGCTGCCACGGGCTCGGAGGCCCAACCCACGCAACACTGGGCCAGAGTGGACCCAGTGAGGCCCGGTACCCGCAGCGCCTACTTATGCAGCCTTCCGCACCTGGCTGCGCCATCCAGTGGATCAAAAGGCACGGAGGCACCGATCCCCCTTTCCCCTCTCGCTCAAGAACCCTAGCTACCAATCCCCAATTCGTGTACTCTCTGTAACCGATTGAACCTTGATAATCCTCCTTCTGCTATACAATCCGATCCCTGCTCTTACAATGAGCAAAGTGAAAGCCAAAGAGATGGCAAAACCCCTTCAAGATCGAAAGAGTTTCCATTTTCTTTTTCGTAAGATCCAAAAATGGGTTCCACTATCAAAGGATAACGGATCAAACAACAAAACAGAGCATCCAAATGTGCCGAACATAAGTGAAACTAAAATTCAGAAGGTAAAAGTTCTAGCAAACCAAAGCTTTTGCTAGAAGACTGCCTCGTCTAAGCTAGCAGCATCCGATAAAAGTTTTCCATCTCTTTCTTCATTAACTACTCCCTCCGTTCCTAAATACTCCATATGTATATATTTCAATATGAACTACGTACGAATGTACATAGACATATTTTAAAGTGTAGATTCACTCATTTTGCTCCGATGCGGTCCATATTAGTGTCTCTAAAAAGACTTGTACTCCATCCGTCCCAAAATTTTTGTCTTAGATTTGTCTACATATGTATGTATCTAGTCACATCTTAGTGTTAGATACATTCGTATCTAGATAAATTTAAGACAAGATTTTTTGGAACGGAGGGAGTATTTAGGAACGGAGTAAGTAGGAGTATATGGCAAAAAGACAAACGATGATGATTTTTAGATGCCAGTAAGAACAGCTCTGGCATGAAAGCAAACTAAATGATAGAAGAAGTTGTGAGACGAGCAAAAGTCAAAACAGCCGGCCTATGCTGTCACCCTTCCCCATTCCCACCCACCGGTGTTCACAAGGCCTGATGGTTTTACTACTGCCCCCCAGTTTTGATTGTACTAGTAGTCTGGTTAGTACTGCCCTGTTCACGTCACCGGTGCGGCCACGGCGAGCACCACCGCCAGCCTTCCGGTTGATCCCGGACGCAACGCAGCCTCAGCAGTCCCCCTCCATTTCTGATGGTCTCTACCTAGACTGACTAGTAACCTCGGAGCCAGAGAGACCTGTGGCAGATGCGCTCGCCATGGGCAAGAAAGCTGGTGACGCTGAGCAGGCTGGACGCCTCCCTGAGACGCCAACCAGCAACGGTTCCGCGCTTCGCCGATGGACCGCTCAAGTGAGCGCAGCTCTCAGTGCCAAGTGCGTCGTCGCGTTGGTCCTCGGTGTCGTCGTCTTCCTCTCGGCCTTCTTCATGGTCCTTCAATTCCGATCACCGGGGAACAGCATGCCTGATGCCCCCGGCACACTCATCGGTAAGGACGGCTTCTTCAGCACCAGGTTTCAGCCATGATCAGCTATCTCCAGCCATGCGTGCCTTCCAAAGCTCCATGTCTTCGATAGGAACTATGTCATGAATCTAGATAGTAAAATACAAGAACATCCTTCGGTAACCAACCATAGTCATCAATCTGCCACGGCAGTCAGCAGTTCCCATGTTTTGACGACAAAACTTTCACTTCTCCAGATGAAATTCAGGCTGGTTTCATCTTGTTGAAGCCACTTGCGGAACTCACTCCACATGTCGCCGAGCTACAACAAGAGATAAACCGTCAAATTGGAGTCCCCAACACTACGGTATGCTACCACTACCAACCCCAATTCAAGCCACTCGAGAAGATTTACTGAATACTGACCGAGATTCTGCAGGTTTCCGTCTCTATGCAGGCATTATTCCTGAGTTTCACTGTTGTAGAATTTGATGTTCTTCCTGACCCAATAAACACCTCCATAAGTGCACGATCCATGCACGCATTGAGGAAAAACTTGATCCAGCTTACCCTTCAGCAGCTGAATTTGTCGCTGACACCATCGGTCTTCGGATATCCATTGTGCGTACAGATGCTGGGGTTCCCAGGAGGGATCACAATAGAATTAGAACCCCTACAGGATAATTCCATTCTACAAGTTGCACAGCCTCTTTTCAATGTAACGCTTGACATGAGCATTCGCCAATTGAGGGGACTGAT